CTCTCATTGTAATTTATAGGTCAATGATGACTTAGAAGGTTATTTAACCGGATGGGGTGGGTGTTCAGGTGTTTGGGGGATGGTACCATCCCTCCCACACATGTGTACACGTCCTGACTGCACATCAGGGGCGGGAGATGCAGATCTACATAGGATCCGGTAACTTGCTTTTTCCACTTAGCATTAAATTGGGAACATCTTTCCAGGACACCCCCCTCCTTGCTGGTATCTGCTACGCCATATTATTTTATAGACTCCATATTGAAGACTTTTTAAGTCCGTCCCAGGTTTCTGCTTACAAATACCACCTGAGTGATTCTCATGGTACCTGGTTTACTGGGATATTCTCACATCTAAGGAACTCTCAGCTCTCCCTTCTCTGATGCCCAGCAAATCCTGTTGCATGAGATGTGCTAAAAGACCACCAGGCCCCTCAGTGGCTGTCCAGACCCCTGACCTGAGTGCAGACTATCTTCTGTCTTATCCGTCCCTGTTCCCCACACATACTTCCCAGCCACCCTGCTGCCGTCCCAGTGCCTGGCACATCTGCCCCATCTCCAAATCCTCTCAGCTTCCAAGAACCAACTCGAGTGCCACCTCCTCCAAGAAGCCCTTCTTGACTAGTTAGAAGTGATTCCCACTCCCCTAAAAAGACCTCCTTGTCCCCACCTGGCAGTACTGATGTGTCCACCTTGTCTGGTGATTACCTAAGTGCATGGTGTCCCAGTGTTCTTGTCTACCTCCCTCACCACCCTGGCCAGACTAAGAGCTCCTTGAGGCCAGGGACAGGGTCTGATTTCTTTCTGTGGGCACAGAGTCTGGGTTGGAGCGGGTATGTGCTAACCGTTTGAATAAACACACAAATGAAAGAAGACAAGCCTGGAGTTGGGGCCTGAGTTCCAATCCAGCTGGGCACCAGTGTCCTGTGAGAGCTTGGGCAGGTCTTCCTCTGGGGCCATGGCTTCCCTGTGGCCCGAGGCAGCTGGATTTGACTGAGGCCAGGATTGTTGTGGTGGGAGGACTGTTTGGTCCGAGGTAACGGTGCAGGGCCACCCCTCATTTCCTCTGGCCACACAATCCCATTATGAGCCTGCCAGGATTTATGTCTGAGACCCACCCTAAGCCCATCACTAACATCTGGCACCCTGGCAGATGAAGATGAGCAGAGGTTGTAAACACTGACATATTCATTCATTAGTTCATTCATTCCCTCCTTCACTAGCAATCTGCTACCAAGCCGTGCCCTGGGCCAGGCCTGGGCCCTTGGATCAGACCCTGGCCCAGCCCTGAAGGCCTTTCCAGTAAACAGTCAGCAATTCAGTGAGTGAGGGCTGGGACAGAGGGAAGCCTAGGGACCATGGGAGCCCAGAGAGGGGCCCAGACTCAGCCTGGTAGTCAGGGAATGCTTCCTGGAGGAGGAGACCCTTAAACTATGTCCTAATGGAGGTTAGCCATTGCCACAGTGAGCAGGAAGAGCGGGGGAGGGAGGAGGTGGCCTTGCTCAGCCTTGGTGCCCCCGGCTGCTGTGTGGAGTCTAATGATAAGAGGAACATGGATGAGGGATTATCTGCTCTTGTTTACATGATTAAAGCCAGACAAATACTTCCTTTATCTGAAAGAATGAAAGGAAAGGATTAGGATTTTAGGGAAAAATCCTTTTGGCAGGAAAGCAAAGCATAAACATTTCCTTAATTAATCTCACCCCCTGCCCCCCCCCTCCTCACATCCCACAGCAGTCACAAGAAGAGCAGCTCTGGGCTCCGGGGTGGCCTGAGCTGGTGGCCAGAAGTGGGAAGGAGTGGAGAGGAGAGAGACCCACAGGCCCCCTCAGCACAGCTCCTGTGAGGGAGGGTCTGGGTCTAGGCACTAACCCCAGACAGCCCTTGGTGGCCGCTCTTAGGGAGAGGCACCTATCATGGCCCCATTGTACAGATGGGGATCCTGAGGCCCAAAGATGAGAGAGTGACTTGCTTGCCTGAGGTCAGGCAGCAGTTAGTGGGGCTAGAACTAGGACCTGGGTCACCAGCTACAGCCCAGCCCAATTCACTCAGTGCTTTGAGGAAGCCGTGTGAGTTCAGTGCCAGCTTTGGGAACTCACAGGGAGGTTGGTCCTGTCCCTCCTCTCAGGGGCCCTCAGTCCAGTGAGAGACAGATTATTAAACAGTGACAACCAGGGTCATGCCAGAAGTGACCAGGGGCCCAGAATGGACTCCTAACTCTGGGGAGGGGCAGGCAGACCAGAGAGGTGACCCTGAGTGGGGTTTTCCTGCAGGGAGGAGTGAGGCAGGTGAAGGAGCCCTAAGAGACAGCATAGGGAGAGGCCTCAAGGGGGGAGCATGCTTGGCCTGTGACCCTGGGCAGAGGGGAGAGGGCAGAGCAGAGAGGCTAGGAGCCACAGGACCAAGTTACTGGGAGAAAAGCCTCCCCAGGGCACTGCAAGGGTGTGGTACAGCTGGAGGGGGCCACAGAGGGCGGGCATAAGAGCCTGGCCAGGCCTGGGCCTCCCCATCCATTGACCCACCCCATCTTCCCAGCTTGATGTCCGGCCTCGCCTCTCTGGATGCCAAGACCTCCAGCCGCCTGGGCATCCTCACTGTGGCCTACTACCTGTGGACCACCTTCGTGGCTGTCATTGTGGGCATCATCATGGTCTCCATCATCCACCCGGGCGTTGCGGCTCAGAAGGAGACCACGGAGCAGAGTGGGAAGCCCATCATGAGCTCGGCCGATGCCCTGCTGGACCTCATCAGGTAGGACTGGCCACTGACGCCTGCTTGGGAAGGCCCTGCCCGGCGGAGGCCTCTGGAGCCTCCCACGGAGGGGCTCAGAGGCCACTGCCTCACACTGCAGTCTGTCCCCCCAGGCTGGGGGCACTGTGAGGGCAGCGTGGGTCTGCTCTGCTGCAGAGCAAGCATTGGGGCCTGTGTTGACTTCTGACCCCATGAGCTGCTTGTGCAGGCCCAGCCTGTAAGGCAGGAGGTCAGCGGTGACTGGTCCCTCCCTCTCGTCATGGGTCTTCTCTTTACAGATGAGAAAATGGGGTTCACAGAGTTGTGTGACATTTCTAGGGTCACCCAGGAATTAGGTGGTGGAGTCAGGATTCAACCCATGCCTGTATGACTCCAAGGATAGTGCTCTTGCCCTGGGGTGCCATGCCTTAGCCACATCAGGCTGACCACATTGCTCAGTCCTGAATCCTCCCCCCAGGAAAACGCTGCAGACACAGTGCCAAAGTCACCTGGGACTCCCAGTCCCAGGCCGCCCCCCAGGCCGCCCCCTCCTCTCCTGCCAGCACTCACTGTCCCTCCTCTGCCAGCTTTATACCAGGCCCTGTGGTGGAGGAGCGGTCAGTCTCACAGGAGGGAAGGACCATGAGCAGCCAGGGACAAAGTGACATTGGAGAATTAAACCAGGGACCTTGGAGGGCATGGTGAACCAGGCCAAAAGTTGAGTTTTGTCCTAGAGGTCACAGGAAATGGGTTTTAGACAGAGGAGAGGCATGGCCCAAATCAGGAGCCTCACTCTGGCCCCGGCAGTGACTGTGGATGGGGAGGCGGTGAACCCAGGGCCAGGGCAGTGGGAGGGGGCGGTATTCTGGGGAGGGGCCTGCAGGGCTGCCTTGGGGGGTGCATTGGCAAGCAGGTGAGATGCTAGTGAGGGTGCTGGTTGCCCGACACGCCTAAGCATCCAAGTGAACAGTGGTGTGGTCACCTAGAGCAGGTGCAGACATCTGGGGGAGATGTCAGCTGATGGTTGGCCAGAGATGGAGGTGTGCAAGTCACCAGGTAGAGGTGTTAGGTGTGATCCTGGTCAGAGGGGCTCCCCATCAGGCCAGTCTGTGGCCTCCTCTAGTCCCTCTCACCTTCTAGTTAATTGCAGATACAGGAAGTCATACTCATCTAATTTCAAATCAGTGCTGTCTTAGTCTTGTGGGACTCAGAGTTGGAACCACGCAATGGGAAGAGAGTTGTGATGAGTTTGTTTCTCTGTTCCTGGCTGAGAGAGAGGTGGGGTGAGCCACGAAGGGCCTCCTAGACTAGGATGGGGTGACCTAGGGTAGGCGGTCTCTGATTGTGTTCTTTCTGGGGGTACTTTCATGGCTTCTTGGAGCCCTCCTATCTCTGCTATCTCTCACCTGTTATCTCTGTGACTCAGGTAATCCCTGATCTGGCTGCCTACTATGCCCTTCTTAGACCTGACCCCTGGCCAACTCCTCTGCTGGGTAACAAACTCCATATCTGATCCATGGGAAGCATACACATCCTTGCTGGAAGTGCAGGCCTCTCCCAGGGCCTTTGGACATAAGTCAAGCACCATCCCCTATGTTCTTCAAATCTAAGGGGACATAAGCCATGACCTCTGAGTAGTTCTCTTGGTTTAAAGTTAAGAAAAAGCATGAAGTATTCCTTTCCTCCCTCACAGGGATAGATGCCCAGCACATAGCCTCTCTCCCTCTCGCTAAAGAAACTCTCACTCTCTGTATTAGTTAGCTACTGCTGCATAACAAACCAACCCATGACTTAGGGGCTTAAAATGAGAACCAGAAGTCTAGAGAAGTCAGCTGGGAGTTTCTGCTGATGTGGACAGAGCTCAGGCATGTGTCTGCAGGCAGCTGGTAGCTCAGCTGGGAAACAGTTGGTATAGGGTCATCTTGGCTGGGATGACTTAGCTGTGCTGCTTGCGATCTTTATATAACCCAGGGCTAGCCTGGGTTTATTTCTCAGTGGTGACAAGATTCCAGGAGAGAGCAGCCTGAGAATTGTCTTATGATGGAGGAGAAAGAGGAAATAAAAACGTACAAGTGTTGGCAGCTCCCGTAGCTCAGTTGGTAAAGCACCATCCTGAGGCTGGAGGTGCCAACCCAGCCTAGGCCAACTAAAACAATAATGACAACTGTGACAACTGCAACAACAGCAACAACAACAAATAGCGGGTGCCTGTAGTCCCAGCTACTTGCAAGGCTGAGGCAAGAGAATTGCTTGAGCCCAAGAGTTGGAGGTTGCTGTGAGCTGTGATGCCACAGCACTCTACCGAGGGCAACAACTTGAAATTCTGTTTCAAAAAAAAAAAAAAAAAAGAAAAGAAATTTTAAAAAAATGTGCAAGTGTTGTTCCAAGCCTCTGTTTCAGGCAAGTCCACCAACATCCTCATGGCCACAGCAAGTTATGCAGCCACACTCAGGGTGGGAGGGGACCACAGTGTTAAAGGGAAAGGATGCACTCATTGGGGTCATTGGTACAATCAATCTGCCACTCCTCCATCTCTCCACGAAAATTCACCCTGGCAGTGTGTGCTGAACTCAGGATCACAAAAATGCCAGCAGTTTTTTTTCCAATTGTATAGTTCTCACCCATAGGGTCTAGAGCCAGAGAGAGAGGCAGACAGGGTCTGTTCTGTGCACACTCACTAGCCTGGTGCTTCTTCAGTTCATCCCAGGGCTGTGGGCACCTTCTGGACTCTGGCACTCCCAATTTTTTCCCCCAGCCTTGGAAAACTCTCACCTGAGCTCCAGATTCTCACTGTGGGTGTCTAAGGCACCTCAAAATTAACATGTCCACCCTAGACTCTCGGTTTTCCCCATAACTCTGCCCTGTCCTCAGCTCTGCCATCCCAGGCCAACATCTCTCACTCACTTATATCCTGAATCCAAATCCTCAACAAATTCTGTCAGCTCTTCCTTGAAAATCACATCCCAAACTACCACCCTCTGTCCCCTCTGCCACTGCCACCATCCCCGCCCATTCCAGCGTCCAGCCTGCCCACTGCTTTCTCTTGCCTTCCTCTGATCTGTTCCCTGTCCTGCAGCCAGAAAGCTCCTTTCCAGAACCTGCTCACAACCCACCACCTTCAACGAGCTCGTACTCTGTACTGTCCCCCACTGCACACACATCGCCTCGGACTTCCACCCCGACTTTCCCCATCCTGCTCCTGCTTCTGCCACCCTGGCCCTGCTTCTCTGTCGGGGTGTCATTGACCCCTCCCTGGATGGCCCCAGAGGGGGGAGCAGAGCCCATGGCTCTTCCCCTCCTTCCTCAGTGTCGCTTCCTCGAGGGGACTCCCGGGCTCTGTCACTCTCCCTGTCACCTTCTCTCGTTCACTTTCCCTGTTGCTTTGATTACTACCCAACATCACCTCATCTACTGTGTGTCTTTCTTTTTCTCTCACCTCCACTGGAATACTCGTATAATATGCGGGCGAAGACCAGATCTTTAAAAACGGTTCCCTGCTGTTTTCTGGAACCTGGAATGGCAGCAGGCACAGAGCGGATTGCTCCGAGCTTGCCAAATGCACATGTGGGCTCGGACTGAGTGATGGAGCTGGGGTCTGAAGCCCCAGGGGGAGCCAGGACGGTCCAGGGAGAGTGAATGGAGTGAGCAGGTCCCCAGCCACCCCGGAGGCTGCACCGAGCCCACACGGCCCAGCCCAGCCCAGCATCAGGCAGGAGGAGACCCAGAAAGTGGGTGTCCTGGAAGCCTCATTTCTAAGATGCAGTAGTTTTAGGATTTGGTGACTATGAGTCATCATTTCTTGCAGTCTGTGATTCAGAACAGCTTTTCACATGGTGGAAGGAGTTGGTGGTGCTGCCCTCCCCACGGCCTCCCCTGCTCAGGGCTGTGGAGCTCTGGATTGGACACATGTGTCAGAGTCAGATGTTCCGGAGCCTTCTGTGCCGCATTGCTTTTCACATGGTGAAAATTGATCCTTCTGCTTTGAGGCTCCTCCCGCCTCTCCATTCTCAGGCCCCAGGCAAGCTGTTCTGCAAAGCTGGGTGGTTGGGCATCACTGTCACCATTTCTTGGTCAGAGGGCAGGGCTGCTAGGAGAGAGTCCGTGCTTCCTGGGACAGGGAACTGGGGCCTAGAAGGCCTGTGGCCTCAGCCCTGCGCTGCCATCCGTACGTCAGTGTGTGGTCCTGGGCAGGCCAGTCCCCTCTCCAGGTCTCAATTTCCCCAGTGATTTCCAAGGTTCTTTTTAGCTCTGTGGTTCTGAAGCACAAAGGTCTATAAGCCATGAGGAGGCTTCAGGGCATGAGCAGAAGCTTCTGGAGGTGGGTTCTGGGAGCTAAGGTTGGGAGGACAGGGCAGAGCAGACCATGAAGGCCGGATTGAGGGCCGGGCTGTGTGGCTTTAGAAATGGGAAGATGGGGGGTTGGGAAGGAGTGGCTAGGGTAGTCTGAAGGGGACAGGATATGGCTGGAGGTGTGGGGCACCCTGAATTTCTATTCAGCCCTACCCTATTAAGCACCTGCTCTGGGCAAAGCCATTGTGCTGGGAGGTGGGGAGCAAATACGAGTCCCTGCATCAGGGCTGTCCATCCTCTCAGGATTGATGGATAAGGGGGTACAGTGAACAGTCACACCTGATGTTCTGAGAGGCTGTGCAGAAGACAGAGACATGGGCAGTGAGGGCACCAGGTACCTTCTCACCCTCACTCTGGCCCAGGACAGATACCTACCAGTGTCAGTGACTGGATGACAATACTGGTGACTGAGCAGGGAGCTGGGAACTCGGGCAAGTGTGGCAAATGAAAAGCCAGAGCTACGTGGGGGCTGACTGCACAGAGACACGAGGGCCCGCCATACTTCTCGGGTGCAAAGTTATGTGTCTGTGCCTCAAAGAGGATCGAGAGGAACACAGCATTCCATGTCCCCAGATGACCCATCGAGACACGAATTCCTCTCCCAGGGCTCCGAGTGGGGGCTGCAGAACATTGACGTCTGCTCACAGTGCAGACTCGCAAAATGAAAACTCAGTGGAACACTAATCAGAGCTGGCCCCTTCTTTTTCTTTCCAATCTTATTAAAACACCACAGAGATTAAGTAATGACTTGGCTGTGTTTACGGCTCCCAGTTACCCTCTCAGGGACCGGATAGCGCTCTCAGGAGCTGTCCTTGAGAAGAACAACCCCCATCTTTGGGGCCTGGTTGGGGACATGGGACTAGGAGTGAGTTTGGAACCACCACAGTGAGCACTTACAAATAATAGGTAAGGAGGGGAGCCGAGACCTGGATTCTGGCCCTTCCCAGAGAACCATGCAGGGAGGTCTGGGGCAGAGTGTGGATGTCTGGTAGGCAAAGCTATGCATATCCCTAGGCATGTTCCGTATTTTACGTAGCTGCTACCAGGCATACAGGTCTTGTGGGACAACCAGGAAGCTTCCTATAGTAGTCCAGGCCAAAGAAACATTTAATAATCAAAAATATAATTCTTGATTAACATCTGCAGGACAACTTCATTGATTATTAGGATGAGCACACATAGTCAGGAATTGTTTTTGGCTCCTGGTTAAGAAAATCCTGAAATAGCAGGGGCTTAAGCAAGGTGAAGGCTTGCATTTTCTCCTGAATGGGCAGACCAGAGGTGGGTAGATTGTGGCCCCAGGGTTCCCTGCTCTGTCCCTCTGGGTGCTCTGCCATGCTTAGCACCTGGTTTTCATCATCAGTACATCTTGTGGTCCAGGAAAGTTGCTCGTGTTCTAGCTGTTCCGTCCATGGTCCAGGCAGAAAAAAGAAATTCAGAGGAAAGGACCAAAAGACCCTGCACCTCTGTGAGACTTTTCCAGGAAGCACCACCCAGTGACTTCCAGGCACATCTCCATGGGATCACAGTTTGACAGCAGGCGCTGCTGGTCCCACAGCATGACAGGGCTCCTGTACAGAAGGAAGGAGGGGAGATGGAGACTAGGTAGGCAACTAGCTGTCCCCACCACAGCCCACATTTTAAATTATTCTAATTGTAAAAGAAGGGAATGTACATGCTAGGAGTAAGTTCCATTTGTTTTTTTAAGACTTTATTAAAATTCTTAGTTTTTGCTCATGCTAAGGCTGCTTGCCCTCTAAGCTTCAGTAGAAAACAATCTTGCAAGTCACTTGAGCCTCCTGGGGCCATACCCAGGAGAGGTTTTCAAACATTTGACAGTGGGGCAGCACAGGCACCTGCAGCCTCATCATAGATGCCCAGGGCAGGTGGGCCACTGCCCCCCGCCAGCTGGGTGGCCATACGCCCCTGGCACGTCCCCAGCACTCACTCTGGTGACACGGGTGCTTTGGACCTGCCTGATGCCAGGAGTCCTCGCAATCATTCTGCTGACAACTCATTGGAAAAAAGTCTCGTTTAAGCTTCTGAGATTCCCAGCTCCAGGGTATTTCTATTTCTTCTCTTTCTTGCTGGTTTTCTGTCTTGACAGCTCATTCTTTTTTGTTTGTTTGTTTTTGTTTTAGCAGGCCCGAGCTGGCTTCAAACCCATCAGCTCCAGTGCATGTGGCCGGCACCCTAACCACTGAGCTACGGGTGCCCAGCCTTGACACATGATTCTTGACCCCCCTCTGCCTGCCATATGCTTACAGTGAACTTGTATTTTATCAGCAGTGAAAAAAAAATGACAGTTTCTATTTCCACAATGGCTGCTGGGGCATGAAGTTAAGAAATGAGGCATGGGGCGGCACTGTGGCTCAAAGGAGTAGGACGCTGGCCCCATATGCCGGAGGTGGCGGGTTCAAACTCAGCCCTGGCTAAAAACTGCAAAAAAAGAAAAAAAAAAAAGAAATGAGGCATGCTCATATTCACATACATGACTCCACTGTGTGTGAGCTGAGTCTTGAAAGAAAAGAGATTTGGCAGGAATAAGAGTGGTTGGGAGGATGATCCAGGTGGAGTAGGCAGCTGGGTGCAAGGCCTGTGCACGCCTGTGCCAGGAAGGGCGAGCACAGGAACAAGTGTGTCTGTCACCAACTCAGATTTAGGACTGATTCCTAGAAGGAGTGTGTAAAGTCATGGATAGCAATGCTTTTGAGACTCACAACATGAATTGCTCAATTGCCTCAGCTCAATTGCTGTCAGAGCCATGTGAGGGTGCCCATGTCACCAAACCTCC